GGCGCCTTCGTGATGTTAGTCTGGCTGTAAAAGGTCGGATCTACAACGCGTCGGTGAGAGCAGTTCTGCTCTATGCTTGTGAAACCTGGTCTCTCCGAGCTGAGGACGTTAGACGACTCTCTGTGTTCGATCATCACTGTCTCCGAAGGATTGCTGACATTCAGTGGCAACACCATGTCAGTAATGCAGAGGTTCGGCATCGTGTGTTCGGGCACAGAGATGATAACTCAATTGGTGTCACCATCTTGAAACACCGACTTCGGTGGCTTGGACATGTCCTCCGAATGTCGTCCCAGAGAATTCCACGTCGTGCATTACTTGCCGACTCTGGGACTGGTTGGAAGAAGCAGAGAGGTGGGCAGTGCATGACATGGTGTCGTGGTATGAAAGAAAGCTGCAAAGGACTGGCTTCTGTCGGTCCTTCACGACTCCCTGGTTGGGTGGGGTCTTAGAGATGGTGCTACACAGTGGCTAGGGACGTTATCAGATATGGCTCAGAATAGAAGCCAGTGGCGATCCTGCTGTAACCTTCTTTTACTTTCTTCATAAAAAGTGGTTGTGTCTCCCTTACCTGAAAGATTTCTTTTGATTGTACCTCGTTACTACCACACTACCTTAAACCAGTCTCTTCGTTATTGTCCTCTTTTTCTCTTGCGCTCCTTAGTTTTTTTTTCTATTTCTCTTCGCATTCTCATTGTTTTGTTTGGTGCATATATATTGGCGCTCTCTTGTACCAATATTCATGTGTTCAAATAAATAAATGAATAAATTATCAGTTGTACTGTCATATCAATCCCGAAATACGTGACCACTTCTTTGAAAGCATACAGGACTGAATATTAGCGACACGCTCCCTGTCTTTCACGATGCTTTATTCATTTATTTATTTTAACACAGGTATTGGTACAAGGTGGCACCAGATACATATGCGCCACACAAATCTCATTTGATATGTGTAAGGGCTGTGATACTGCCCGGGTGCCCACACCGAAATGGGTGGTTTTCTTAGGAGACCACACCCCGAGGCTTCGACCTGAAGGTCTGATCCACAAGGCAATGGAGCATCGTAAGGAAATCCAGTCCCATGGTAGCCGGTGACCAACGATTGGTTCGTACATTATTTGTTCCTTCAAGATACTGGAGCCCATGTGCATCATTGGTTTGGAGTCAGGGTTTTCCAACTCCCCTAGGTGGACTCCGTGTCCACCAACCCGGTTAAAGCGTCGGACATTTCGCTTTTCGTCCTCTCAATTTCGTAAACAACACCCCCGCCACGAGAAGGCAGTGATTAGAGCTTCCCTGACAGAGGTTATTATACGCGTGGCCATGTGAGAGCATTTCAAGAGGGAGTACGGACTCTCCCCACTCTCGGCCGTACCAGGGCATTTGGGGGCCCCCTTTCTCCATGATTTACGTCGTAAAGCAATTCTGCGGACTACTCAGCATTTTAATTGTTTTTAAATAGATAGACGTCTCTTTAGGTCCAGATAGTGAAGATAAGTGAAACACAAACACATATTTCCATCCAAACTTTTTCAAATACCACTACACCTGGGCTGGTAAGACGACCAGAATAAGCGTGGTGGTGGATGCTCACAACTACTCTATTATCAAACGAGGTATGTAGAATATTTAACCCAACCTCACCTGAATCTCGTCTCCTTCCCCCTTCCTCTCTGTCTCTACTATATATATATATATATATATATATATATATATATATATATATATATATATATATATAAATGCGCGTCTTAACAGTTTTATGTTATTCGTAACTGTGTTTGTGAACACCCGGAACAATTTAGACAATTCGTGCCTTGTATAGCTATTTGCTTACGATAACCCTGTTCTAATTAGAATCAGCTTCGCTCACATACAGTAACAATCAGACCATCATTTAGTATATAGTCTGTTGACATTAACTGCACTTAAAACAATCGGTTTTGAGAAATTGTGTTTAAACTGCACATCATTCAATCCCTCAATAAATATAAGAAGTATATCTAAATGGTTCATTCTAACTAAGCGCAGTTTTATAGAATACTAGTTCTCCACATAGATTCCTGTGATAGCATTTTCCTGAAAACTATGAAACGGAAAGAGGTTAAAATAAGTGCATGAGTATCGGTGTCTTCACTTTGTTTGGTTATGCCGTGTTGGTTTTAGACTTATTTTCGACAAACTCCAAGAATTATAATGGACTAATTTAGTTGACCCACCCTATTGGAGGGTGTACGTGGTTCTGTAAGAAGTGTTGGTTCATGAAAGTAAAATGGATGTCCTCATATAGAGTCCAGAATTAATCGAATCAAATGAAATGATGCTTGGTAATACTACTAGATAAAGATAATTGATAACTTCATATGGATCAAAGTACTGGAATCCTGACAGTCTTATGTGTTGTACATTTTTTCGTCATACTATAGAAAATAGACATTGCTTGATGAATCAAGCGTTTTAAAGAGGTAACTGCCCTTTCCAAAGCAAACAGATCCGATGTAATTAACGTACTTCATTATCAAATAGCTTGATCGTATCTAAGCTTTCTCAATTTCTATCCAATTGAAGGAAATTGAAATGCCACTGTTAACGTGATATCACTCACTGGTTAGCAATTAGTCAGGAATTCGGAAGTAGAATCAAAGCCAGTTTAGATTTCGTGAACCTCATACACATAATGTTAGGATTTCTAATAAAAGTGTTGGTCCTGATTTTTTTTAGTACATAAATGTTGAAAAACCAACTGGTAATATAACGGTGTCAGTCATCTTAGATGATAGCAATATGGGTCCATGTGTATTTGTTCTATGTTGTAAAGTGATGAAGAATGTATGAGATCGTTCGTTCATAATTAATTCACAATTTTCAGGTCGGAACTACTTCTTATGTAAGCCATTATGCAAATGTCGTGTAAACATTTTGCTTTTAGAACCGTTAGCTCAAAGTATGAAGCATTTTGATTACGCATTCTTTGAGTATATTTTCCTTAAACTTTAGAAGACTTCTGGATTTGACGTTGCAATACATCAGATGAACTTAATTCCGACTAGCAGATTGTGACTTAATACTTTACTGTATCAGTAGTCTTGTATTGTCGTGAACACCGTCTAAGAGTTATATATATACATATATATTCTTTGAAAAATTCAATAGTACTGTTTTGTTGGTAATGTCAAGGTTATCGGTTGTTTATGTCAAATTTATTACTGGGAACTGTTAACTCCACTTCATCGGGTGCTTCAAAGCAGTTGTAAAGTCTAATAATGTTTTTCGTTAACTTTTGCTTGGTTGATACGTAATCCAGATTTTTTTAATTCATTACTGTTCCACAATTTGTTTTTTACTATAAGTGTACACTGCTTTTTTGAAAAATACTCATCGTTCTTATTGATAGATATTTGTGTATACGTATAGTAAATATCTGTTACATTTGTTCTGGTCGAGCGCAGCAGCGATGTATATGCACTGATTAGATTTGACCAATTTTAGAAACGGAAGTAAAGGGAATGAATAAATAAATGTTAACTGTGACCATATTAACATTAATTAAGTATCTAAACAACCGTTTAAAACCTTAATGATAATTTCGATAATGCAATGAGAAGACGTAGTTTATCAGAATTATGTGATATATTTGCGCAATACATTTCGAACAATCTGATCACACATATACTTGTTAAGAACATTCATATATAAATGTTCTTAACAAGTTTATGTGTGATCAGATTGTTCGAAATGTATTGCGCAAATATATCACATAATTCTGATAAACTACGTCTTCTCATTGCATTATCGAAATTTATCAAAGGGACTAATTGTTTTAAATTTAATGATAATTACCTAACATTTAAACATAACTTCAGACGATTGGGAATGATTCGTAGTTGAGCGGTCGACAGTATGTTATCTAGAAGACAATTAATGGCCTACCATATACAATAAGATAGCTCTATTGTCGTCAGTTCAATAATCATTCATCCTAGATTTAAATGCAAGAAACATAGCGCGAAATGAACATGGCAATTTTTAAGTCTAGTTTCGAGTTTATGTTTAATGGAAACTTTTGACACTGACATATATATTTCATTCTCAGAGAGCAAATTTACTGTTATGCTTTAATGGTATTGCAACCGGTAAAAATGCTATCACTACCTAAATCAACTTTAAAGTACTTCTTTCACATACTTTTATTTTATAATTGATTATGCTAACAATAGTTTTTATGTCGACCTTACTAAACTCAATGAGATACAAACAGTAATGTAATGCTGAATTGGGCTTGATAGTGTCATAGTGGCTTCCTAGCAATCTATCTGAACATTGACTTGATTTTTGTCGTTGAACTAAACTTTAGCGTAGTTAGTCTACGATACGGTACATGTTCGCGTTTAGAGCTCATTTCAAAGCTTTATCAGTCTTCTATATTACAAATTATTCCATTTTTTGTTTACTTATCCGTTTTTGTACATTATTTCTGCTTATCCTCTCTATTTATCAAACTTTGAACAAACCATTGAACTATTGCACAAAATTATGTTCTATCTACCTAAAGTTTACGCGACATGTAATTATTCTCAGTTGAAACTGAAATTCTTCTTTTCATCCATTTGAGGAAGAAAAGGTAGTTTACTGAAAAAAATCCTCGACAACTTCATGCTCTAAAGCTGTGTAATCGTACAGTCATATATTTATATTTGTGGATTTGGTGCTGCAAAAATTGCGCTCCTCTATCGTAGGTGTTTTTTCCAAAGAATCATTTCGAGAAACCAAACGTTCTTCAGTCGGTTTTTGTTTTAGATTTCTCCCTAAGTTGTTCACTTTATATCTTTGAAGTGCTTCATTCCCAATTTATTATCAATATATTTTGATTATTACCCTGAAAAAGTCCAGACAAGTTAGCTAGACGAAACGTTGGAATTACTTAAATTTTAATCGCTGAGATTATTTCAAATATAATTTCGACATATAATTATTATCAATATGTTTTGTTATTCAAGGTATGTGCTGTGTGTTACGAAAGTTTTGAAGTAGTTTGGGATCATGAAGAAGAAGAATGGATGCTAAAAGATGCTATTCGAGTTGATGACAAGGTATATCATCCTATTTGTCAAGAAGATGCAGGAAAAGAATTCTCAATTAAGGATGTAAGTTGAATTTATCGCAAGTCGATTACTTTTCTTGTATTAACTTGTATAAAGGCATCTGGAAAAAGTAATTGCACACTCAATCTTAAATGAATGGTAAATTTAAATTAAATTACTATGAATTCTGGGACGCCTGATTTCTAATGTCTGATAAACCCTAGTTAATAATATTTCATTTTCATACATTAACCACTGAATTCCCTAACTGATGCTTCGATATTTAAAATCCTGTAGTGAACAAACAGTGTAGCAAGTTCGGAGTATACATTCACTTAGTAACAGATTCCCGGCCGCATCTGATACCGTGACTTGGTAGTCGGATTGGAATATCTTAAAGATCTAATCAAGCTATATTGGCTGAAACTTGTTATTTAGGTGCTAATACGTAGAACGTGGTTAGAGAGCAGTAAGACTAAAAGTGCCAAACTCAAAGTCCGAGAACAAAGTTGTGCTGGAAACTGTACTTAGGTGTGGTGGTAGTAAAGTATTCCCCCAAAAAAACTAACGTCTCCAGCGATACTACATCCTCGTAACGAAAGGAAGGGGTCAGAGAAGGTTGCGTTTAAAAATACCGTATGCCGCCTTGCCCCGCGGGTCCCTGTCGCCGACGGTAAGTTTTAAAAGGTACAAAGCCGACACATCTGGGTCAATTCACGTAAAATCTATATGGGATGACTAACCTGATATCTTCCCCCAAAATGTTGTACACTAAGGCGTTCTTAAGCTCTTGGATCAATGTTAATTTTGCTATTTGGTTGTACATTAGATATTTTGTTCATTACTATTTGCTTTACACAATTCATATTCGAATTTATTCTAGGAAAAGAAATTTCCTTCACCTGACCCTACTGAAAATAATAAAGAATCAACTTCCTCACCTGAAGGTGTTAAGGAAGAGGCCGTGGATGAAAATGCATTTACTTGTGATGATTTTTCAACGAATACAGTTATTCCTGGTCTTTCACCTTCTACCTCTCCACAACAATGTGAATCAGAGATGTTATCGTCGAATACGGAACCTGAATGTGAATTTAATATGTCGTTGAAAACTGAATCAATTTTGTCCAACTCAACAATTAGTGCAGATCCTTTGGCTGCTTTAAAAGCTGTCTTAAAAGGTGATATATCTTCACTTAGCGCTCAATCTCATTAACATCTGAACTAATTCACTTATTATTATTAATATACCTTTGTACATATACTACTATACAGATTTCTATTCATATAAAATTGTGTATGAATTCATTTTTTTGTAGAGCTTGTAAATATTTCATACAAATAAATGGTACCATTTTACGATGTCATATGTTATTAAAAATGCTCATTGGTTAATTAAATATAATACGGTTATCATATATGTAAACTGTTCTGTTTTGTTGTTTGTTTTTCCTACTAAATAGACAGAAATACTAATATCTAAGATTTACTGTAGTCAAATTATTTCACGTTACACTTCAAACAGAAATATCGTGTGAGTCAAAACAAAATGTGATTAAATACTACTACTACGTTAATAGTAAGACAGGCATATCTCTTTCATTCCGTCTCATTATAATGATATTATATAGTAACATAGGTTGACTCATATTCGTTACAGGTATTATGCTTATTGTGACTGGTCAACGTGCATTGAATTTTACGTGTATTGTAATTTAGTTTGATCTTATAAAGAAGACTGTTTTAGCCTATATATCTAATGAACAAATCGGTAACCGTCTGCTATAACTATGCTCAAAGAATGTTGATTTTTTGGAAAGAACCAACTTTCAGCATAGTTATTGACATGGTCATCACTAATGTCAACCCAAATTACTATGAATACAAATGAACAATATCTTCATCAGCTGTCATTGCAGAGACTCGACCGAAATCCGTTTCCTATTCTGGAGATCATGTGTAGACTCGAATCATTTCTCAGTGCGATCACACGTTTACCTGGATCTTACTGGACCCAGAACAGCTACAGCAAGAAGACACTATAGTTCATGTCAACGACAAGATGTCAAGAGTGTGTTTCAGATACAACTACAAAGGTAGTTCGTCAATCATGAAATTGGTGTCTACACCTAGGTGGCTTAGCATGATGTCCCAACAATAATGAGATCTACCAGCAACTTAAAACAAGTGGTCAAGAAACACCAGTCGACTTTTGTGACACTTCATGAATGGACAAACGCTCGGAAACTAATCTCGTCAGGTCCTGAGACTGATCAGTAGCGAAGACAGTTTAGACGTGGATTGACAAAAAGTCTACGTAATGATTGTGAGCAATCGACAAAGTAGCGGTGGTAGATAACTATTCAGACTCATCAAAGAAACAGGTACTAGAAATCCGACTTAGTGAAAGTTTCAGAACAAGACGGGATCATTGTCCACTTTCGGTCCAGATTAGAACTATTTAATCGAAAATTCGAATTGACCTGCGGCTACCCACTATTCATAAACAATCCGAACGGGAGATTAGAATACCCTCAGTGACTAATCTAAATTGCGTTAGAGCTATTGTTCATGATAGGTTAACCCCAGATATCTTTAAGGATGGTGCAGTTTTAGTTTGTAGATTGTCTGAGATATTAGCTGGTATTGGATCTAGTCGTAACTGCATCTGATATCAACATTGCTGGTCGTCCAAGTTCATAAGAAAGTATAGAAGTCCGTGTAACAGCCACAGAGCAATCGGTCTGATCAGTGTAATATCCAAAGTATTAACTTCAATCACCATCCAACGGTCATCTACGGCTCATGAAGAACAAACCTGGAAATGTCAGGTTGGTTTCAGGTTACTAGTATTTGATCATAAATACCTTTAAGTTATGGCTCATGTATATTGGGATTATAGATAAAACAATTCTGATTTTAGACGCAAGGAACTAAGTATGGATGGTAACTCGATTGATGAGTAAGTGAATCTTCAGTAACTAAAGTAGTGGAGACATGTGCTATCTATCCCTGAACACTAGGTACCTTCATACACTATAATGAATAGTGTAGAATTACGTTAGAAGAATGGTAGCGATCTCCCGACCAAGACGTGGTATCACTTCATGAGGTTATTGACTGTTAGACTAGGTGTTGTAGGTAGGCATAAACTACGTGGTCGAAGTTAGGGCGATTATTGTGACCAATGGTTAAAGTACTTGAACTATGTGGTTCAGATGCATCCAATCTTTTTCTTCCCTTAAATATCAATTTTTTTAAATTAGCCTAAAATATGATTCTTATTTCATGAATCCATATTTTTTTTCGAATTCTATCTTTTGTATCTAGTGTTTTCTACTACTACCAATATTGTTACTACTTCTACTACTGTGGAATCTCTCTGTGCGTAAGTGGTGTAGTAATTTGAACCAATGTAGAAATGTGCTAGGTTCTACTTTCCGTATAACTGACTAACTAGAATACAAATAAATGAGAATTAAGTTTTTTCACAAATGCCATGATTATTTCCAACGTATGAGTGTTTCCGACTCGCGTATGACTGATTGATTGATTCCTTGTAAATCGGTCTTCAATCTAACTATCGGTCTAAACTCGGTGTGTTTATGAATAATTTGAAAGTCTGATTCATTTGAGGTTATTATTACCATGTAGGAAGTTGAGTTAAGATATATGAATATTTGACTAATCATTCTACAACTGTTAAAAATGAAGTTAGTTCTTTTCACTGAGTGATTTTTAATTGGGATTTAAAATAGCACTGGGAACCTGTATCGGACACTTCAAAAGACGTGCGCTCATTACTTCAACACGGAACAAACCAAAGATATCTAAATAGCACGATGAGCGAAGTATTTAGAACATTCATCATAACTTAAAAATAATATGCGATTAATCAAGTAGTGTATAGGAAAGGCATTTTTGTATGTTTGTGTAACTATGTATTAATAGATTTTAGGTCTTTGCCGACTTATCACTGTTCTCGGGATCAAATTAATATTTACAATATCATTAGTGTAAAGTTTCATGAGGAAAGATCATAAACATAAGATTGACATTCAAAATGTTGATATACATTCCAAACAAATTACCATGTTTTTGTTGTTGTTGTAGTTGTTGTTGTGAGATCTACATTGAGAAACAAGATTTTTCACTATAAGATTAGTGTTCAACATAAAATACAATCTAGTAAATAGGAATTTTTTTTAAACAATATCCTATTTTAAGTCATTCATGATTACATTTTATTCTTAATGAATCCCTATTTCTATTTGGATGAAATTCATCCTAGAAATAAAAATAATATATTTGTAATATCCCAATGAGTAGAAAATTGGATTTTCTGACGTTTCGTGACTTAGTGTAAATCACTTCTTCAGAGAATAAATAACCAAATTAAAATTAATCCAAGTTTAAATAGTACAACGGAACAATGCAAGAATAATATTGGATCAATCAAAAATCAGGTCTGAACAAGTTGATGTCTTGTCATTTCTGTCATGGTGATTCATAAGTGATATGTATATAAATTTGTGTGTATGTATATGTGCATTGTTTAAGAATGAAAACTTGTGTGACCTTTATGGTAAGAAAGGATAGAATTTAAATTTGTAATATGATAGTGTGAAATTGTAAATACGATCAGAATGAATGGCTAGGATAGATAGTCCAAGTAGGATTTATAATAAGACCTTCCTTTCTATTGAGAGAAGTAGGATTAAGCATTATATGGAACGCCTCAGCTACCCTCCTTTCTTTGTAGTTGGAAGAGCCTTTTTGCATCCTAGCAATTATGCTAAATGATAATTTTACTGCTCTAATATTTAATTCATTAATAATTATCATTGTCATAAAATCATTGTAATCGGTTATATAAGCTTACTATAGTTATGTTCACATATAATATAAATAAATCACACAGTTTAAGAAATTGTCACGATACACTATTCTACATAAATGTTTGTAGAAGTTAATTAATATTATCTTAATGATTTTACTACATTATCAGCTCTTTCTACTAATATTATGTATGATTTAATATTCAAGTAAACAATGCTTATAATACGCCGAATCTCATTAACAGTGGTGAAATGAATAGTAAAGTCAACTTACTTACTTACGCCTGTTACTCCTAATGGAGCATAGGCCGCCTACCAGCATTCTCCAAACAGTACAGTCAAACTGTTTATTAATTTTTTTTAAAGTCTATCATTTTAGAACTAAGTTAACGATACTTAGAAAAATTCATAACTTGGATTGTCTTGTTGTTATTAATGTCGACTATACGATTCAGAAGAATGATCCGTAACAGAAGTATGCTCTAATTTCCTATTTTTTTTAAAAATAGTTGAAACCAGTCTCTAATAATTGATAAAATGAAGAAAACTTAAGCTCCGACTGACGATGATACAGCGTTAAGTAAAAGGGGTTTTACAGAAAATTTTGAGTTATTCTTTGTAATCCCTTATTAAACATACAGGTTTCAGGGGACCAGATTAAATTGTGTGTATTTGGAATAGAGATTCAAATAAATACTTTTTTGGGAAATTATTATTTAATCTCCGAAAAATATCAGATTTTCCAATACATCTGTTATGTCCTTTGACTCGTCAACTATCACGTGACAAAATTGCTAATCAGAATACCAACTTCTATGACGTTATCCCTGTGTTAAACTAATGACATGCCAACCAGCACTAGGAGCCTTGAGTCAACTCTGAATCTTTATTGGTCCTCTGCAAAGCAGCTTCTCGCCTAGTCCAGCTCGTTCAGTCCAGAACACAAATACTAGGCTTAGGCTATATAAATAGTAAATTTCAGACACGTGGCTTATATACAATCAGACCAGACCGCATCACACCATAAAATGAGAAATAATAATTATTCAAGGTCAAGCCAAAAGTGGCTGTGAGTGTGGGATACTGTAACTGACAAATTGGAAATAATTAATGATGGTAAATCGTATAGCAGCGGCCAATAGGTCAAATAAAAGCCTACGATAAAAGGAATGGGAATACATATATAATCTAGTTACTTAATAATTATCCAATAATAGTTCATGAGTAGTTCTTCGTTCGGATATAAGAACATTACCTTCTTGAGTTATTTCTAACTCCATTTTTACAAGTTTAGCGGTAACTGCTCCATTGAATGGTGTCTCTAGTCGATCTATTTTCTTAGTAAAAACGACCTGTAGCCTGGCGTCAGTTCGTGTTTGACCCCTTAACCAGTAGAATGTTAAAGATTTTCTTTTTTTAATAACCCTCTCTTTGTGTGTCGAAATTATAAGTGGTTTTTAAACCTGATATAAGTACCTTTTCTAGCATATACCTCTTACCCATCACCGCTTATGAAATAGCTATACATAGTAGCCATGGAGAATATTGTATGTATTGCATCCACGATCCCACCCGTCAGATTGTA